CTGCTGACCTGGCAGTCACTTTACAAGTTCAGTTTCGCTACACTGTTACTCCACATTACCAGGCTTCACCAGCTGAAGATATAGATAGAAAAGGCAGCTATCTAGATGTGCCATCTCAGTTCCTCTAGAGCAGTGGTCTCCAGCCTTTTTAAGCATGAGATCACTTTTTGAATTTAAGTGCAATCCAAGATCTACCTCATATATAAATACCCTTGCCCCGCTTCCTTCCTACCCCTTCTCCAAGGCCCTGCCCCTGCTCCCTCCATCCTCACTCACTGTCATCAGCCTGCGACAGAGGATTGGGGCGCAGGCTCTGGTCTTGGATTAAGGGATCTGGAGTGTGAGAGGGGCTTTGAGCTGCTCTTGGGGCGGGCAGGTGGATGTAGGAGGGGGTTCTAGGTTCAGGCTTTGGGAGGTTGTTTGGATGCAGGGGTGCTCAGAGCTAGGATAAGGGCTTGGGGTACAGGAGGGGGTTCATGACTGGGGTGGGAGTTTGGGATGTGGGCTCCATTTGGGCACTGCTGGTGGTTCCTGGATGGTGGTGCAGTGGGGCTAAGGCAGGCTCACCCGTGCCCTGGCCCTGAACCACTCCCTAAAGCAGCCAGCAAACTCCCTCCCTAGTCCTGTTGTGCCCCCTCTCTGCTCCATGGAGAAAGGATACAGAATGGGAGAGGGGGCACCTTAACATCAGCACCCCTCTTTTCCCTCCCCTGCCCTGCACAGAAAGCAGGAGACTCCCAGGGGGAGGGGCAGCTCCAAGCAAAGGGCAAGAAATGTGCAGCAGTGGGGGTAAGGGGCAGCTGAAGTGTAGGCACTTGATAGCCTCTTGGCCAAACCCATCAAGATCACCGGTCAAAGGCTCCAAGATCTACCAGTAGTTCCTGATCAACTGGTTGGTGACCACTGCTCTAGAAAATCTGTAGGTTCTTTTCAGAAGCTTTAAGATAGCATTTATATAAGCTCATTGCTTTAGACTGCACCTTTCTCCTTTCCAGGTCTCTTTGTCCTATGTAAGGCAAAAAGAAATAGTTGTCTTGCTGGGCTCCTTTGAGGCAGGGTTTTTAATTCCTCCTTGCATCAAGGAAATTCTGGGTTATTATTTGGACAGGGTTTATAGACATGGTGAATGTTATTATTTGCCAGGGAATGTGCAGAGGAGTCATAGTGACGTGTAAGTCTTTATTTAAAGAAACCCTATCTATGCTTTGTCTTTCTAGAAGTAAAATGCATTTTTAACCACCTGCACTCATTATACAAATAATTGCTCACAGAATAAAACAATGGGATAAATCTGTTCCTTAATATATACCTTTCTAAAATCATTGCAACTGATAAATTGGTAAGAGAACTACACTTTGTCAGCATTATTACATGAAAACAGTAAACCATGTGGAAGACACCTACTCTAATTTTCTCCCATTTCTCTTACTGGTTATAACTGGGACATTTGAATGTTGCCTTTGTACTTTTGTTCATGCCATTTATTTAATTATTAGCATCCCACTTTACTAAGTACTCCACAGATTATATGGAGAGAGAAGCTCCCTGTCCTAAGCAGCTTACAATATAATTGTAAATTCACATCTTCCCCTTTACTCTGGGAATTATTTTATCTTTGTAGTAGGAGGCTGTGCCCCCTGCTTTCTACATTCACCAACCCCACTCTCTCTGGGGGTAAGCAGCCCGGCATTCCCCCCGGCCACTGGGAGGGCACCAGACTGAGTCATAGCAGCCCTTGTCAGCCCCAGCTATTCCGCCTCCTGGCTGCTGGGCAGAACTGAGGCTACACTAGCCCCAGCTCTTTCCCCTTCCCGCTGTCCTTGACAGCCACGGCTCTCTTCCCTCAGCCACTGGTAGAAGTTTTAGCCAACACTCTATCTACACTAAGGCCTCTCCACATACACAACAAATGTCATGTCGAGGAACATGTTTAAGCATGATTGATATGCCTCAGGAACGTAGTGGTGTTTGGTCTTGTCTTTGGAACTGGAGTTTATGTATTGGCTCCACTGTTTAATTTGTAGTGTAAGCATCCAAAGGCTGGAAACCTTAGTTCTTTAGCAAGATGCTAATGTGCACAGGTCCAAAAAGTAAATTCAAATTACAAAAGTTATTCATTCATTCATAGCTTACTTTTTTGGGGGGGGAATAGCAGTGAGGCAGAACTCATGAGCAAGATAGTCTTGTGTACTATTATTCCCCAAGTCCCTTGTATCAGTTGATGGTTATCTCATTCAGATTGCTAAAACTGGTCCCACTAGCAAACTGCCACAGTAACACAAAAATATTTTATTATAACACCATGTTGTTATGCTAATATTTGAAAGGGTGTGTGACGTTCATTTGTAAAATGAAATAAATGGAGATTTTTCAATTGATCTGTTGTCTTTTGGATCAGATCTGTAGAAATGTGCTTTTCAGAAATGTCTAGTTATTGTTTTTTTTCCTTTTTGAATAGGAAACCTCCATTTTAGAGGAGTATAATATTAACTGGACTCAGAAGCTGGGAGCTGGAATCAGTGGTCCGGTTAGGTAAGAGAGTACACATGCTGATTTGTGTATGCCAAATTATCCTGTTAGAGCAGCAAAGTAGTGAGTATATATTTTAAGTATGTTAATAATAGAAAGATGGGTAACTCAAGAAGTTTCTCTCAGTTATAAGGAAGTAGGAGAAATTTGTGATTATAACAAGTTCTTGACTCTGATGTAAGGTGCCATGTACATGGAGTGTATATGTGATTTGGGTACTCTGCTACTACTGGGGATGTTTGAAATAAAAGTAAACACATTTCATCTTATCACTCCTATTTTGCCCCATTGTTCACCTTTCTGTTTCTAAAATAATCTAGGAATAAGTTATGTGCTTGGGAAAGATGGTCTTAGAAAAATTCTGTTCCAGCTTCTCTTTCTCTTTCTAAAACATCGTTCAGCCAGCGCCATACCCCTCTAGGATATTGCCAGTTGGTTATTCAGGACTACTTGTCTTTTAGCTAATTTTACCAGCTCGTTTTTCATGTTATATGAAGCCAATGCAACTAGTCCAGTGTCTGTTATCAGAACTGCCTGAATCATTAATATTCTCACCACTGACATGCAAGAACTGGTCCCTGCCTGCGAAAAACTTATGACGACTCACCACTGGAGTGCCCCTTCAGGGATGGGTTTCCTCTAATGTCCCCTGCTGATAGTCATACTTGTCCACTTGCTTCTTGTGGCTCAGTCCTCTAGTAAAGTTACATTTAGTCCCCGACCCCTACAGCGTAATAAATTCAACTTGGGCATAACTCTTTGCCCCTATAGAGGAGGGAGCCATACTAGATTCTTTTAGCTGAAAATCTAACTCCTAATGCTACAGTCCTCCCTGCATTGTGTTAGTATAGGGAACCTTTCTCTAGACTCCAGTTCAGAGACTTCATGGTGAGTTACCAAGGCTTGTTCCCTTTGACTCTTGATCCTTCCTAGAATTCTCTTTACTGTGGTTTCTCTCAGGCCTCTTCCCCTAGGGTTCCCTTTGCCACTCTTTAGGTAATTCTTCACTCTAACAACCAAAGATGGACTAAAAAGAGGGACTCCTATTGCTGTATCCCTTTTACTTGCTGGGCTTCCTCCAATACTGAGGCCATGTCTCCATTTGCTGCACCAGAGATCGATCTCCTGTCACGTGATTTAGTGGGTCTAGTTAAGACCTGCTAAATTGAATGCTGAGGGCAGCTCCAGTCAATGCTGGTACTCCTCACAGTCATGAGGAGTAAGGGAAGACAATGGGAGCATTTACTCCTGTTGGCCTCCCACTGTGAAGACAGTGCCAAGATTGGGTTCAAGTAAGCCCCGTATTTTACGTATCTGGAGTTGTGTGCCTCGAGCCGCATCTAATGTACACATCTAATGTAGACTTGGCCTAACCACCCAGCTCCTCCCCCAGTTGGGCTTCATCTTGTTGCACTGATGAAGGTGCAGCCAGGTTTCTTAATTGAGCTTTGCTAGCTCCCGTTAATGCTTTTAATGTAAATGTGGAGAATATACCCCATCACAATCCTGGAAAACAAATTCCACTGCTTCCATCACTGGGAGGTTGAGAGGGAAAAACTGTGTTGGACCATCTCATCTATTTCCCTATCCAGGAAGGATAATTTCTTAGATTTTCTATCACTGTGTCCCATCTAATTTGAAATGTCCCTTTGTTCTTTATTTGTTTATATTTGATGGCTGCCAATTAGGCCCAAGATCTTTTCCTCTGAAGCAGTCTAATAATTAATATTTATATACATTGCACAAATAATTTGTTTCAGTATGGCCAGTGACTTATCAGAACAATGGCTTTGCATTGGAAACATTGTATGTATTATTGCTGATTCGACCCTGCATTCCAGGTGTTTGTCACTGAACTTTTAATAAAAAAACTACTGACCTAATAATTAACATACAATATATTGTACGGGATGAACCTCCCAAATTTAGGACTCTCTGGTCCAGCAACACTCATGGTCCGGCATGGCCATGGATGTTGCTGGACCAAAGAGCTCTGGAGGCTGGGAGCAGGAGTCAGCCAGGAGAACCAGGGGCTGGGGAGTCCTGGGTCCCACTGGGGAATCCCTGGTGTCAGTGAGGCTGGCAGCGGCAAGTTCAGCCCCAGCCCAGGAACCCTGCAATGGGCAGCAGGGCCTGATGATGGCTGGGGAGTCCCAGCATTGGCCAGGATACCTCGATAGCAGCAGATGGCCCTGGCTAGGGAATACCAGGAACCCACCAAACAGTGAGGGCCGGAGGACCCTGGGGTACCCCCAGAGGGAGTGGGGTTGGTGGGAGCAGTCTGGTCTGGCAAGGGAACCCCCAACAACAGGGTGGGGAGCCCCATGGAGAGGAGGCCAGGAACAGAGCAGCAGCCAGCAAGGGAGTATTGTCCTCCCCTGGTCTGGCAAACTCCTGGATCCAGGACCGCTCAGGTCTCAAGGGTGTCGGACTATGGAGGCCCAACCTGTACTTGTAATCTACATAGCTATTGACAAGTTTCAGTCCTTGCCTTCTCTTGAAGCAAGATACACTGTGTATTGTTGAGAGTATATGTTCTCTGTAAAATGTCCATATTTTGAGTATGTCTTGTGATTGTTGTGGAATTTGATAATGGCTTGTCATTCCTTTGAGGCTTTTTAGTCTAGTTTCTAAACAAGAATTAGAAATTGCATATTACAAATAGCCTACTTTAATCTTAGCTCCAATTTAATGGATTAATACCAGTAATTATAAATAAATAAGTTAATTAAAATATCTTTTTCACAATCCTGCTGATTGAATGATTTTGTTGCTATGATACTAGAGTCTGCGTGAAAAAATCTACTCAAGAACGATTTGCACTGAAAATTCTTCTTGATCGTCCAAAAGCTAGAAATGAGGTATAGTCCATTTTTTAAAAACCTGTGTAATTATTGAAATGTACAACATCTCTCCCCTTTTGCAAATTATTCCATTTATATTAAAAAGAGTTAGCTGAGGTACAATGTCTGTCAGCCATTGGCAAAATCCATTAAGATATCAAAAAAAGTGGTTTTTGAAATACCACTTGCAAAAAAGCTCTTTGCTTTTGACCCTCTGAGGTCCCTGTGTTTGGTTTCTACTGGGTACCATATACTGGTCTTGCTAGACATGCTAATCTGCTGTTTATGTACAAGTGCATTTCAGAAAGGTGTTTTATGAATTTACAGTGTCCTTCTTACTCTCTACTTGTAACATAATAGGAATAGTTTAGAGGTAACTTAAGTTCCAAACATCTTGCTCCTAGAATAATTAATGTAATAACTGTTCAAGTTGCATTCTAACTGGTTTAAGGGCTATTTGGCGTAGGAGATCTTAGATGAGCACTCTAGCTTAATTTGTGATTGACAATAAGATGGGAAAAGCCATGTGCAATGCATGATCTTTAGATGTCTGTTAAAGGTTTTTATGATTTTGAGAACAGTTTTATGTTCTTTTGAAAAAAAAATTGGTTCAATCAAAGTAGATGTGATGTTTCAGGCAAACACTTTATCACTGTATGTTAAAATGTCGCTACACTTGCCAACCCTCCTGTCTCTGGGGGTAGACAGGCACAGCTCCTCCCCCCCGGCTGCTGAGGAGGGCTG